CTATAAAGACAGGGGAGACAACCCTGTTGATGGTTTAGGGTTTGCACCCTAGGCTCTAACAGCTGAAGTAGCGTTGTTTGGTCTGATGCTTTGCGTTTGCTGAGTAGGGTTTAGGGTTTAGAAATGCTCAGGGGTTGGGCTTTGGAGCTTCTTGCTGGGGACGGAGAGAGGAGGGTTTAGGGCTCCGGATTTAGGGCTTCTTCTTCGATGAGGGTTTTTGCTTCTTTCCGGAGGAAGGGGCACTACCAGTCGATGTCTCAGGGTTTACAGCAGCAGCTACTGCTGCTCCTGAGGTTGGAGAAGCAGGAGGAGCATATTCCTCTCCATATAGCTGGGCGATGCGGACGGGGTCGTGTGGAGTGTATTGGATGGCGTGACGGCTGTATAGGGGCCACGACGGCACACACACAACAGCAGCAACAGCTGCAGCAGCCAGCAGAATGCAGCAGCTGTTAGCGAATGACTCTGTTACAAACCCAAAGATAAAACCAAACGTCGTCCCCAAGGCAAACAACGAGAGCAGTAAACGCTGCAGCACCTCCTGTGAACGGAAATCAACAACCCCCTCCTTCAAAGACGCCCAAATCGAATGCAATGTTTCCATCATCATCGCCGCAAGTGGCAGCAACAGCAACAGCAACGGCAGCAGGGGTCTCAGCTACAGCAGCGGAAGCCTCTCCAGGCGCCCCGATGAAACCCGCTGCAGCAGCAGCACNGCAGGGGTCTCAGCTACAGCAGCGGAAGCCTCTCCAGGCGCCCCGATGAAACCCGCTGCAGCAGCAGCACCGGCAAACAGCAACAGCAGCACAGAAGGTCCTCCGGCCCTTCACCACATCCGCTGCTCCTCTGTTAGCGGCTGCTATCTGACGCGTCTGTACTTGTTGGTTGTCTCTGGTGTCTTTGTCTTGCCTGCCCCCCGCCGAGGTGTTTCTTCAGTGTTCGGCGCACCTCGCGCCCGCATTCAACGACTTCGCCGTTAAAACGAGTTAAAAGAATTAAAAGATGAAAACGGTTAAACACAAACACGCAAAGAAAACACACTCTTCCGGCCGCCGCAGCCGCCCGTACTGCGCCGCCTTCCGGAAGGCTGGTCTAAGCACGCATCAGTAGAAAAAGGAATAACACAAAAACATATAAATATAGTGAAGGGAACAAAGTGAAATATGCGTGAAAGCCCTGTTTCGTAAGATGCTCTCCACGCTGCTGATGATGCCGCTGCCGCTGCTGCTGCTCCCGTTCACTGGCTGCAGCGTTCAGGGCCCCTCAGAGAGTAAGATGGTATAACAACTTTTTAATGTGTGAATTGTATAAGGCCACTGTAGTGACGCACCTCAGTCTAAGCAGAGGAGCGGCGTAAACTGCAACTAAGTCAGACACCCGAGATGCGTGTTTTGAAAGAGCAGCTGATTGCCCCCCGCTTTCGTAACGTTGTGAGCACTGCGGAACAAGGGCCTCGGGCGGGCGTGGAGAGAAAGCAGCCCGCCATGTTGCAGCGCCTCGTGTTGCAACTCCTTTCTTATAGGCAGTGTAGCGCGGTGCAACACAATGATAGTGACAGGCTTGACACCTTCGAGTAAAGGCAACAGTACCTACTCGGATTAAGACGATGGGAGCCAGTGTGTATTAACGTGAATAAGAACATAATTCGTGTGATATATTAACATTACTGTTCTGCGGATTGTGCACTGGTGCTGTCAGTCACGCCAACGGTTTCAGGCCCAGGGAGCCCTGGCCTGAAACCACTGGCGCNTGTGCACTGGTGCTGTCAGTCACGCCAACGGTTTCAGGCCCAGGGAGCCCTGGCCTGAAACCACTGGCGCCAGGAGCAGACCGAGCCTCCTCGGATTCTATCATGCTCTCCGGTAAGACTATTTTCGTCTCTATCGTCTTGGACTTATTGTGTTCGCCAAGGGGAATGTCGGCCCCTTCACCCCTTTGGCGTATTATGTGTGTGAACAATTGATGATACCTTTCAGTGGGACGCGAGCTGTATGCAGACTGGCAGAAATAGGTATAATAGTTTGTTCCAACCTGTGTGTTGGAATCACCTCCCATTGTAACGTGAGGAGGAACCGAACTCCTTGGGGGAATATACACACTTCAGCCAACGAAAGAGTCGAACCCCGCCAGTCGACCTGGGGGTCCCCTGCAGAGCACCGGGGGTACTACAGGCAACCAGACATGCAAGCATAACGACGGTCCCTTTCCTGCGTGCATTAACACTGTGTACGGTTGTTAAACAACTAAACGGCCCGGAATTACGAGCCTGCATGCGAGCAGAAGGACACGTAGCGACTCCATACAGATTGCCCTACATCTGGCTCCCACCTCCACCCGGAGCAACACACGCATTCATTTTGCCCAGGCTCCCCAGAAGGTATGGGTGCATGGAGGGAGGAGAAAGTGACTGATGGAGCACTGAAAAACGAAAGGAAAAGAAAAAAATGTCAGTGTATATGCACAGGGTGAAGTCTGTGTGCGGCTGAAGGTGGTCTGTGGAGCCCGACGTGTACGACTAGTTTGAGGGACGGGTTAAAGATGAAGTAGTGGTGGAGCCAGAGGCGTCTGTGAAACTGTTTCTACCGAGTGCGGGCTGCTACTCTGCTGCTGCTGCAGCGCTTAAGGGAGTGATGTAGCGCGGCAACAGACAGAATGCTGCGAGAAGCAGCAGGAGGCAAAAAAAAAGGGTGATGAGGTGTACTAGCTGGAAGCGGCGTCAAGACGAACCGACAAAGCAGCGAACAAGAAAATCAACAATTAAACAAACAAAACAACGATTAAACTGTACAAAGCAGGGCAGATTTAAACAAATACAAAGAGGAAACAATCAGTGCAAAGGAAAACGGCGTTTGCGCCTCCATACAGGGCCTTCCCGCTGCTGCTGCTCGTGTTGCAGCGCCTGCTGTTGCTGCTGTTGCTTTTGCTGCAGTACCTGCTCTTGCTGCTGTTGCTCTTCCTGCAGTACCTGATTTTGCTGCCGCTCTTGCTGCAGCACCTGTTGCGTCTGCTGCTGCTGCTGCTCGTGTTTTCCCTGAGAGTGCTGCAACGAAGGAGGAGCGTCGGCGTCAGCTGCAGTAGCAGGGGGACAGGCACGCAAAGCAACACCAACAACAGCTGGGGCAGCAGCAGCAGAAGAAGCCCCGTGCGAAAGCAGCTTTTCCCCCTCCTTTGTGTCCCCCCCTTCAGTCTCCTGAAGCCTTTGTGTCATTGGCAGTGTATCCTCAGAAGCACTCTCCGTATCTGCTGATTCGTGCTGCGGTTGCTGCTGCTGGAGCAGCTGCAGTTGTTCCTNTCAGAAGCACTCTCCGTATCTGCTGATTCGTGCTGCGGTTGCTGCTGCTGGAGCAGCTGCAGTTGTTCCTCGTCGTGTTGCTCCTCCTCCAGCACCTCCATTCGGTCATCCTGATGCCGTTTGTCGTGCTGCTGCTGCGGCGGCGATGCAGGGCATTCGGCTGGCGGATGTTGCGGCTTTTGGCTGAGTAACTGCAGCAGCAGCTGCTGCAGAGAGTTGCCTTGTTTCTCTTGCTGCTGCTGCTGCTGCGTCTCTTGCTGCATTGTTTGCTGCTGCAGAGTTTGCTGCTGTTGCGGCGGCAGCAGCGCTTGCTGCTGCTCGCGTTGTTGCTGCATGTGGTCTGCGGATTCGTCTGCCGGCTCCGCCTTGACGCAGATTTGCCGTAACGCTAGAGGCAGCAATTCTGGTGTAGAGACAAACACTTTCTCAGACAACAAAGGCGCAGTGCTAGCAGCAGCCCTTTCACCAGCATCTGCAGCAGCAGCTGGTGCTGTTGCTTCAGCTGCTGCTGCCTGAGCGTCACCAGCTGCCGATCCTAAGAC